CACCTAAACACCTCTTGTCCCTTGTTGTCACTAGCAAAACAGTTTGCAGAGAAGGCCATAAGGAGTCAGGTGGATGCCTTTAGGAGGTGGGGAGTCATGGCAGACTGGTGAGCTACATACAGTTTTTAACCTTCAGAATACCATAATAGCCATTTGGCACATAGATTGTATTGGTTATGGGGTTCAGCAGTAATGAGAGCATTAATAGTAGGCAGTATTTACCATAAATCAGTAGGGACAGGGATACAAGTAGTTCTTCAGACCAGGGGAAGGGATGGTTCTTCAGTACTAAGGAAAGGGATTGGTCTTCAGTACCAGGGAAAGGGAAGGTTCTTCAGTACCAGGAAAGGGATGGTTCTTCAGTACCAGGGAAAGGGCTGGTTCTTCAGTACCAGGGAAAGGGATGGTTCTTCAGTACCAGAAAAGGGATGGTTCTTCAGTACCAGGGAAAGGGATGGTTCTTCAGTAACAGCTAATTGACTATTTGATTTTTTCATTCATGTTTTTAATACACCAGGGACAATGGATGTTACTTCACATTTGACAAGCAGTATGAGGCAAAACAACTGGAGGTTTTTTACAAAATGTATGAAAAGGTAGGCATTTATCAGTCATTCATCTGTGAAGTTCTGAACCTTGTTGTCTTATTCATCATAATAAATAATGACACAGTCTGTATTCATATTTTACTCCATACCATAGGTATGAAGGAAATATTTTATTTTCCTGATGTTTCTTTTTCCTCTGCCATTTGGTCAAATGGATTCAACTGTACTTTTGGAATCCAATTGTGCGTGGGGGATGGAGTGTAATATGCTGTGTATGCTTACAAATGTCAGCCTCTCTAGTGTTGAGATAATATTAATAATGTTGAATGTTGATGCACATGATAGATGATATTGTTGATGGTGTTTCCATCACAGGGCTATATATACCAGGACTTCAAACCTGTATTCTACTCCCCTTCTTCAAGGTAAGATGTTATTGTCTTTTGAATGTTATATAGTTTACATAGTGTGTAATTGCAAACAAACAAAGAACTGTTCATTTTTGAAAAAGAAATTGTAAACAACTGTGTAGTTCATACAGTACAAATATGGGTGGTTTATTCGTGCATTGCTTTGTTCCAGAACTGCACTTGCAGAAGCAGAGTTAGAGTATAAAGAAGACCATATCAGCCATGCAGTGTATACCAAGTTCCCACTAGCCACGTTGTCACCAGGCTTGAAGGATGTAGTAGGTAATTCTCTTTGTACCTTGTCAATCCTTTTTTGCAAAATATATACAATGTAACTAAGTTTGTTAATGTTTTGTTAATGTACTTTGTATATACTGCAATGGAATAAAAGTGTATTATACTTTATAGTCTTGTTGATAAGCAATTCTTTTAAGTCCCTTTATGTTATAGTTAAACCAGTGAAAGTACAAATTAAATCAAATGTTTAGTTTATTGCTGTTGACGAGGAATATGTACATTTAAACAGTCAGTTTTGTCATTTTGCAGGAGGAAGACAAAACATTTCAGTCCTGACTTGGACCACCTTACCCTGGACCATCCCTGCCAATGAAGCCATGTGTTACACACCTAGTCATGGGTAAGAGTACTATCACTATTCTTCTGTCTGCTTGCAAAATATGCAACTAACATGTGATTAGTGTTGTTGACACAGAATCTAAAGGCTCTGCATTCAAATACCTGCCAGTTCTAATTGTTGTGTCCTTGGGAAATGCACTTAAATGATCAGTACCTAGCTCCAGTAAGGGACGTCCTCTCTTAAGCCACAGGCCCTATGTATGAGGAGAGCCACACCTAAGCATGTTAAAGATCCCAAAGAAAAGAGCAGGGGTCTTTCCCAGTGTGAGTGGTTCAAACAGTCTGGTCTTATACAGCTTGTACTTACTGTAGACAACCGGTGTGTTATGATTTAAGGCAGTTTATTGGTTAATATGCAAAACAAACATTCAAACAAAACAATAAATTCAGTTCTGTGTGATATGATAATGGTTGAATGTGTAATACATCCCATTTTCTAGTCTCAGGAATTAAAATCAAGAGTCAAAATGTTTGTTTTTTCTTTTTCCCCAGTTACTCCCTGTGCCAGTGTAAGACAACAGGACAGTTGTACATCCTGGCCTCTGAATGTGTAGAAAGTACTGCCCAGGTCCTCAGCACACACTTGGATGTCCTCAACACTTTTCCTGGTAGGTTTAACCAAGGAGGTTATAGTATGGTTCAAGGTTTAACATTTGTTTAAAATGCTCTATTGCGAAAGCAGAGGGCAGGCAGGAAAACTTGAATATGTGTATAAAAATGTGTGCACTGAGATATTGGCTTAGTTTTCATGTGTCATTATATCTTTCCAGTTTAGCATATTTTTGTAAAAGCCCAGGAACCAGCAAATGCAATTGGTGTGGCCTTAGCACAAAAATGTATTGTAAAGATACCCCTTACATACAACAAAAGAGTTAAGACTTATATGACTAATGTCAAAACCTATTGCCTGTACAGGTAGTGCACTAGAAGGTAGTACATGTCAGCACCCTACCATCCATGGTAAGGTGTCTCCCCTGCTGCCAGCCCACCATGTCAGCATGGACAAGGGTACAGGACTGGTGCACACAGCACCCGCACATGGCATGGAGGACTACACTGTAGCACTGGCCTTCCAGCTTCCTGTGGTATGGAGCTTACATTCTTTCATAGATGTTCATCAGTACTTGGGAAAGTTCATCAGTACTAAGAAAATGGATGGTTTTTCAGTACTAGGGAAAGGGATCATGTTTTTTTAAGTACTTGGGAAAGGGATGGCTTTTCAGTACAAGGGAAAGGGATGGCTCTTCTGTACCAGGGAAAGGGATGGTTCATAGTACTAGGGAAAGGGATCATGGTTCTTCAGTACTAGGAAAATGGATGATTTTTCAGTACCAGGGAAAGGAATGGTTCTTTAGTACCACGGAAAAGGATGGTTCTTCAGTACTAGGGAAAGGGATGTTTCTTCAGCATTAGAGAAAGGGATGGTTCTTCAGTACTAGGAAAAGGGTGTCCACTTGATTTCAGTACCTGTACTATTGGAAACATTTTGAACATTACTTTCATCTGACCTTCAAATGCTTGGAGCAGTAATGATCAACTGACAGGTTTAAAATACATGTACAAAATGTATACTGTGAAGCTGTGGTGTTACTTGATAGAAACAGAATTTTGCAGTAGTTTCAAATCTTTGATGACTTTTTTGACAGTTCACTATTGTTGATGAAGATGGTAAATACACTGACCAGGCTGGAACAAACCTTCAGGGCAAGAACATCTTCTCTGATGGGAATGAAACAGGTGAGAAGATACATGTATTTCCTATTTTGTTCATGTCTAATAGTTTATCACTAGACCAATTTTCCATTTTCTGAATAACAACATGAAGAAAAACTTGTGTTGAACTCTAACTTTCATAAAGTTATTTATTGCAATAAGTTGTCCATTGAATGAACTGACTATAACAAACTGTCTTCCCATTACCTCACAGTTGTAGAGCAGCTGAGATCAGCTGGTAACCTGGTACATGAGCAGGACTACAGGCACAGTTATCCATATGACTGGAGGACCAAGAAACCAGTGTTTATAAGGGCCAGTCTACAGTGGTTCGTCAACACCAACAGTATTAAAGACAGGGCCGTGGTAAGATGACATTCTTGTGCAGGGCTCAAAATACCACCTGCGTATGCAGGTTAGTGAAGGTAAATTGGTATTTCTGATGTCTACCTGTACCTACCCTGCACTAGTC